TAGTCTGCCCATAGCCGAAACCGATCTATTAATAGAGGCGAAAGACACGAAACAACAATTGATCGAAAACTAAGTCCTTTTCATTCGTTTATTAGACTAGTTCTGGTATTGTTCGCCCAGATAGGGAACATTCTAAACGTGCGGTATTCGGCAACGATCGAACTCGTTTCTAAAATAGAACAAATGAAAACAGTTTGAACAACTATGATAAACTAGTTTAAACTAGGACGAAACTACATTCTTTAACATAGAAAAACGCTTTATAGGGATTTTTTTTTAACACAAATCTGAGGTTTCTTCTGGGTCTTTTGGGCTAAGAAGATTCAATTTGCGGCAAAGCGTGTGGCAAATGGATAAGAAAACAGTAAGTTTATTCGAAGGGCATTCCATCCCATCTCGTCTGGAGTTAATTGGAACAAATGGTTTTCCAGGCGGAGAAACAAGGCACAGACACTCGTCTCGACTTGTTTGCAAGGCAGTCTCAATTATAATCGTACTTCGACGACAACATACGCCGAAAAATTGAGTATATTCTTGGTTTTGACATAACTGTGGGACATTGTGAATAAACGACGGGAATAGGTCGCTTTCCCAACTGAATAATTAGTAAGATGTCATAACGAATGAAAGGCCTGCGGCACTCGCCCATCAAAAATAATTAAGAGCTGCAATAAAATGTCAGAAAACTAGTGTGTATGCGGTTTCGTCTAAAATGACCATCTTTCTTCTCAATTTTCCATTTCTTTTCCACCCCTCCAGAGTGGGAAACCTCAAAATACTGCTGGATCGATTGGAAAACACCAAAAATTGCCTGACCATTGAACTACAAAAAATGCCTATGTGTCACTAAGTATAACGATACACCAAACCAAAAACATAAAAGGCCACCTACCGAGATTCAACTACCACAACCATCACGAAAACATATCGAACAAAGGTGACCCAACCAAAAAAGATCTATCACAAATACACTGTCGCCATAACAGGCCTGATCGGATTTGACTCAAATTACAAAGAAACCAACAACAATATAAACTAACACCTAATTCTAAAAAAAATTAACCATTTATAAAACAAATGATACTACAAACTCTATTTGATTGACTTACAAGGAATCACTATAGCAAACAATTAATCCTAAATCAAATATTTCTATAAAGACAAAGACATAAAAAAATCGAACTAATCCTGAATCCTATGACAAAAAGCGACGTAGGTAACAACAATTTAAGTAGCTACGAAAACAATTGAACCAACAAAAATTTAATTCTTTGTAAATCGACTAGTACAAAAACGACGAATAGTATTACAACCAAACCCTACTAATCAATTCATATTTAACTAAAACCCACCAATAACACCTTACTAACTCTGCACTAACTGCATATTACTACAAAGAAATAGACTTCAAAAATCAAACTTGACTCAAATATTACCAGGAATTATTACAAATCCTGTACCACCACAAACGCCCTTAAAAATTGCATAAGTACAAAATCAATTTTTAAAATAAAATTTAATGCCATCGATAAATACTACAAAGACAATAAATGACAACAAACGCTATTATAAAAACGAAGACAAAACCTAATTCTCAACTGTGGTTTACTGCATTGACATTATCATAAACAAACATTAAATCTGAACCAAATATTACTACACAGACAATAAATCTAACTAATCCGATCAACTATACAGCAGGTAACAAAAGCAATTACAAAGACTACGTCAATCACGATCTTACCATTGAAATAGCTACAAAAACACAACACTAATAAAATTTTAATAACTTGAAAATCGGCTAATACTAAAAAGATATTTCAGTGAAAGAAAGTGCCTTTATAATTCCTAATCTACAAAGACAGTGTCTAATCAAATCTGAGATATCGATATATCTACAAAAATAATTACACCAAAAAACATCAACTATTTTGGAAAGGATTTTTACTATAAAGACATCGTTGTTCTTAGTATTAAGGCACCACCGTAAACAAACACATTATCAATTGTTAATAACACAAACAATTTCACTAGCGGAAAATATACTATTTTTGAATCGACTATAAGTACAAAGACATTGCCATCAATAATACCTTAATTCTTAATTTCTCATTAGTACACAATTAGTACAAAAGTTACTCCCACATCCCTTAATCAGCTTTTGGTACAAAAACAATTAGACCACCAAACAATTAACAATATTTTAATCGAATATACAAAGGCATCGAAGGTAACAAAGAGATTTCCATCAGTAATATTAACTCTTAACTTCTCATAACTACTAAGACAAAAACCAAAAACAACTCTCTAATCCCTTAATCAACTTTTGCTACAAAAACAATTACACCAGAAGAAAATCCACTATATTTTAATCGACTATAAATCTATAATAAACAAAGAGATCGTAGGCGACAAAGACACTNAAGAGATTTCTACCAGTAATATCTTAACTCTTAACTACTAAGACAAAAACCAAAAACAACTCCCTAATCTCTTAATAAACTTTTGCTACAAAAACAATTTACCACCAAACAATTAACTATATTTTAATCGAATATACAAAGACATCGAAGGTAACAAAGAGATTTCCATGATTTCCATCAGCAATATCTTAACTCTTAACTTCTCACAACTACTAAGACAAAAATCAAAAACAACTCCCTAATCGATTAATCAACTTTTGCTCCAACAACAATTGCACCAGAAGAAAATCCACTATATTTAATCGACAATGAATCTATAATAAACAAAGAGATCGCAGGCGATAAAGACATTGCACACAATAATATCTTAACTCTTAACTTTTCATTACTACAAAGACAACCAAAAGCTACTCCCTCATCCCTTAATCAACTTTGGCTACAAAAATTATTATACCACCAAACAATTAACTATACTTTAATCCACTATAAATACAAAGAAATCGCAAACAACAAAGACACTGCTAACAATAATATCTTAACGGGGGCGTCGGTGGCCGCAAGGTTTAGTCTTTGACACGGCGCTCATCACTGTAAGGTAAAGGTCCCGTGTTCGAACCCAGCGGCCCTGCATTCGAACCCGACATCCCTAACCTCTGCTGTTGCGAACCCTCGTAAAAAAAATCTTAACTCTTAACTTCTCATAACTACTAAGACGGAAACCAAAAAAAAACTCCCTAATCCCTTTATCAACTTTTGCTACAAAAACAATTACACCAGAAGAAAATCCACTATATTTTAATCGACTATAAATCTATAATAAATAAAAAGATTGTAGGCGACAAAGACACTGCCAACAATAACATCTTAACTCTTAATTTCTCATTACTACAAAGACAAACTCAAGCTACTCCCTCATCCCTTAATCAACTTTTAAGGGATGGTTAGGGATGGTTAAAGACAAAAACAATTACACCAAAAGACAATTCACTATATTTTAATCGAATATACAAAGACATCGACGGTAACAAAGAGATTTCCATCAGTAATATCTTAACTCTTAACTACTAAGACAAAAACCAAAAACAACACCCTAATCCCTTAATCAACTTTTGCTACAAAAATAATTACACCAGAAGAAAATCCACTATATTTTAATCGACTATAAATACAAAGACATCGCAATGACTTACCTTCTTAATTGACTGTAAGTACAAAGGTATGACCATAAACAAAAGCCTTATTGCACAATAACTGACAAAAATGTTACATGTACATAATACATATACCTAAACACCTTAATTTTGTATTACATTGGGTCTTAACTAAATTGTGAATTTAATCTAAAACAATAGTGTAACAAACACAGGGTAGATGTTTGGACAAAGGTCATAAGTTGGAAGTTTCATTATTTCTGTATATGTGTTTCGTTTTTTATATTAAGTTCATTCGACTTTAAAAAATCCCAGCTGGGTAAGGCTAAAAGATCAGGATTTTGTGAACACCATCGATGAAGAAGAACGGGGTTCGAGATACGGTAAAAACTACACAACTACCAAATAAATGTAAAAAAAAGAAAGAAAAAAAAGAAAGAGGCCAAATTTCCTTTCGGTACGGCACAATTTGATAACAGACTTTTGGTAAAGTGTCATAAAATAGATTCTGACCTCACTAGGACAAAAGGTGATAACACACCTTTTTTGGAGTGGTGCCTTCGCCTAATGGGCAATAAATAAAAATAATTTTTTTCCTAAATGAACAAAAAATCAACAACTGATAAACGATTAATGTAAATAACAAAACGTGGCGCCTTAGTAGGGCTCATTGAAATAATACTCAAGGCTGTTTTCGTTCTGTCAAGGCAAAAAAACCCTTGTTAAAAAAAAAAAAAAGAAGTGTTTGGACCTTTTTTCTTGGAAAATACTAAACGATGCAGACCCTCAATGGGCAGGAAGAACAATTGGCGTCGGTTTGAATTGAAGTTATTTTTTTGCCTTTTTTTTTAACTTTTTACTTATAGCCTGGAGACGAAACCCCGAGTGCAAAGTTCGAGCCGATTAAAGTATTGCAATTATAATCGACAGACGAATTCCAAAGCTATCATTTAATTTACAAAACAAAAGGCTGCAAGTCGGTATGCCAAGGACAGACATAGAAATGTTGAATGATACATTATAATATACACATTAGGTTACTACTAATGTATAATATATATACATCCTTTTTAAAAAGCTTGAACAACACACTCACTCCATCATTTATCAATTGTAATACATATATACATCCTGTTAAATGTATGAATTTTTTTGTATATAAAATTTGTGTTGTTTTGTATGTTTGTTCTTTTTGTTCAGTACATAAGCTTTCTGGAGAATAATTAAATAAAGTTTATTCCTTTGTTAAATGTTTTGTAAAGATATCCCAATGGTGTTTCTTTTGGTGCTTAAGGTCAAAAGAGAATTTGGCTCCGTCCTTTAAATGGGGGCCTTAAGGATGTAGACAAGGATAGCTAAGGAGAAGGTTTTTATTGTAGAGGACAGTTAATTATTAACAGGTCGGTGTTATCAAGGGTGGGCGTACCTATGTAAACGGTATCCATGGTTTCCGAATGGTGAGAATCCGGCTAAAAAATCCACAGGTGGTTTGGTCGTTGTCGGGATCGCGACACGGTGGCAAAGCGAGACGGGACGGGGGCGCGGCCGTCATCCGACGCTGAGAAAACGGTCGAGTACCGACTGAAAAAAACGCGAAAACACGACTGGAGGCGATGACGGGCCGAATGGCTGGAGAGACGACAGGACGTGGGGATTCTCCCTCATTCGGGCCGTTTGGCAGTCTCACTCCTGAGTGGGGGAGCGACGTTGCCAAGCTGTGGTTGTGTCCTGCACATACCGCTAGATGTGGCACCTAGCGATCACCCGCCAAATCCCACCACAAACAGACTTGAACCCTCGATGGTGTTGTCATGAGTGTTCCAACTTCAACAGGTCACCGTTTTGGTTGTCTGTAAAACCAACCACACTCTTGTCAAGCTGTCCAGCACGGTCATCCACTGGCTGGACATATGATTCCATGTCTTCTGTATATATATATCAATTTACCCCTAAAACACACCACACATTCTTGTCAAGTTGTTCAGCACTGTCATCCTCTCATAGAACATATGACTGATTCAATTAGCCTTGTTCATCTATTTTGCCTTTTCTTCATATATTTCGTACATATCTAGCATTTTAAAATTTTGTTGGGTGAACACAAATTCGTTACCTTTACTTTAGGTTAGTGCCCATTGAGGTTCTGCATCGTTTGGTATTTTCCAAGAAAAAAGTCCTTTCCTTTTTTTTTAATAACCATCTTTATTTTCATCATACCTTTTTAAAGTATCAATTTACCCCTATTCACCATTAAAACCCACCACACACTTTTGTCAAGTTGTTCAGCATGGTCTTCCACTTGCTGGACATATGACTCTGATTTGGTTAACCTGGCTCATCTATTGCTGCTCTTATTTTGCCTTTTGTTCATAGCTTTCTTAAATATCTAGCTGTGTGTGATGCGCTTCAAAATTTTGTTAGGTGAACGTTACTGTGTTGCCTTTAGTTTAACCATTCCGTACATATCAATTTACCCCTATACATCATTAAAAATCTATTATACACTCTTGTCAAGTTGTTCAGCATGGTCATCCACTCGTAGGACATATGACTCTGATTTGATTAGCCTTGTTCATCTATTTCTACTCTTATTTTGCCTTTTGTTCATATCTTTCTTACATATCTAGCTGGGTGTGATGTGTTTTAAAATTCAGTTGGGTGAACGCAACTTCGTTGTCTTTAGTTAAATAACCATCTTTATTTTCATCATACCTTTTTTATGTATCAATTTACCCCTATACACCATTAAAACCCATCACAAACTTTCACCAGGTTGTCCAGAATAGTTTATCACTTTTTGGGCATATGATTTCGGTTTGGTTAGCTTTGTTCAGCTTTTCACTCTTGTTTTGCTTGTTGACTTCATATTTTATGGATATGCAACTTTTTATTAACATAAACATGAAAATTCTTAAAGTTAATAAGTAAAGAAATAATAAATCTATAACCTAACCTAAAAATAAACCAATAGTCTAAATTAATAATAAATCAATAACCTAACAATCCCTAATCTTAAAGTTTTGTTGGTTGGCCAGGTATTAACACGCAATTATCAAGACAGTCTACAATTTTGGAAATAGTTCTTAAAATTCATATTTCCTTCATACCGTTTCTATTTACAAATTTTATCACAATACACTGTTAAAATCCAGCACAAACGCTTATCAAATCGTCTAGTTCTTGATGCAAATCTTGATAGCCTTGTTCACCTATTGCAACTTATATTTTCTTTTTATGTATTTCATTTTTTTTAGATATGCCAATTTTTAGTAGCAGAAACAGCCATGTTAAATGTGTAAATTTTATTGGTTGGCCAGGTATCAACGGATTGGACATGTTATATTTTTTGCCTGTCATCAACATTTACACCGTCCAAAATCTCTTAGAAAGTTGACATAGGTATTCTAAAATTGACGGAACATTTGCCCACAGCTCTGCCGCCTTTAGTTTAATCAAAGTGAGCAATTTGGTAGTCTACCACAAATGCTTGTGACATTCTTCCAGACTCCGGGAAGGTTTTTGCAAAGGAGGGATGTGGTAGTACCAAAATATACGTACGAAATAAAAACAATAACTGGTTGTTAAGGTCCTTAAAAGAAACCCGATCTACCAATCATGTCATGCTGACTAGCTGGTTTTCTACTTGTTGCACATATGAGTATTATTTGAATAGCCTGTTCATCTATTGCTACTCTTATTTCACTTGATGTTCATATTTTTCTTACATACCACTTTTAATCTTAAACAGGCTGGTGTGACAGTTCTAAAATTATGTTGGGTGTATTGCTATTATAGTAAAATATAATAGTGGTAATGCTTTACGCTAGCTTCTACAATTGCATTTATACTGTGCAAAATTTCTTGAGTACTTGGGTGTTCAAACTAAAATGGATATTTATGTTCAGTTGTCCATCATCATTGTTCCATCATCTTCTTGTATGTTTCGATTTACTGCAACCAAACGTTTTCAACACCCCACAAACTCTCGACAAGTTGTCTAAGTTGGTTCCATTTGTTGGACATATATCTGTAATTTAATGAATATTTTACTTTAATCATACCATTTTTATTATGCCAGTTGACTAATTATTTTCTGCACAATTATGGTTGGATTTTTAAAAATCAACAAACTGACAAAATTAAAATTACTGTGAAATAATAGACTAAAACCTACCAAAATCACTTGGAAAGTTATCTAGGCTAATCTTTGCCTTAGGCGTATGCCTGCAGTTTGCTCTAATTGTAGCAGTTGAATTTTTTTCCCATTTCACTCATACTAGTCCACCTTCTTGTTCTTAATTTTGTCATAACTTCTGCATAATAGCAGTCCAACGACAACTGAACCATATTAAAAACTACTATAATCTCTTGGCAAGTTGTCCATTGTTGGGCATATCTCACCACTTCGATTGTCCTCAGTTTAACTATTTTCATTTATAATAGACTTTTTTAGGAATTTTATCTTAATTGCCAGTATATTCTTACTCTTAATTAGATCATACCTGTATGATGTACTGATACAAATAATAATAAATAATACCGGAGTAGTTGGACAAGAATAATCAAACGAATAGCAAATATTGAAACGTTCCACCCACCAAAACCTTAAAACTTAAAATATATTATAACGTCACTAATTATGTTAATAATTTGTTGTATACAAATGGTATAGACAAAATAAGAATGGTCATAGTCAAATTAAAAAAAACACAAGTTGCTGAAAAATCCATAAAACCGATAACCTCCAGAGATACCGTGTGGGGTGAAAAAAAAGTAGTTTGAAATGACTCAGCTATTATCTATTATCCAACATTATCTTTTTCCATGTTTAAAACAGTAACAAGGATACATTAAAATAATAATAGAATATCTGACAATAAAAATCAAAATGATAGCAAAAATTAAGAAAATTTCACCCACTAAACCTTAAAATATTTTACACCCTGGATTTTTATGTTAATAATTTTCTATGTACAATGATCATCAAATGGACAACCACATTGCTGATAAATGTCCAATAGGTCGGACATCACCTAAACAACCTAAGAATATGAGAAAAGAGCGGTTTGTAGCGTTATAAATTTTTCCGAATCATCCTGGTCTTTTCTCACTGTATAACTTCAGATAAATGAAATTAGTCCATTTTTCGAATGTATTTATACTTTTTTATTTATACAAAGTCCACGTAAAGTCTCTTAGTAATTTCTTTATCTTATTTTCTATAATCTTAGCCGCTTCTATTTTTGCTTTTCTGAGCTGCGATGGTGAGTTGTTAAAATTATCTCACTCTTTTTTTTCCTTCGTGGCACGTTATAAATTATAATAAAGAAACTGGAAAAGTAATTATGTTTAAGTTAAAGCGTCATACATTGATCTATTTGATCTATTGACTTGAACTAGACAGGCTAATTTTAACGAGTCGACACTTTCCGAACATTTAAATCATCGCAGGACGTCAAAAATTCATATCCTTCTGTTTGAACAAGGACCCCCATATGAAAAACGCCCCTACGAGAACTCATAAAACCCTTAAGTCCCGAATCCTGTTCGCGTTTCGGCTTTTGAGAACGAATATTTCTTATATAAATATAAAACAACGTGGTGTCTCACAAGTAGAGAAATTATTGGTTAAAAATGGGCAGACGGATTTGGAAAGGAAATGACCCCTGTACGACTAATAAATAAGGACCTACACGTCTATTTTCGGTAAAACACGTGTACGACATCTAGACAAGGGCGACATTCTTTTAGGGATTTTATAATTATATCAAAATCAACTTTACGCCCTTTCCGTTAAAGATATACTTATACACAACTCCCTGATATTTCACACGTAAAAAATCATACAATCGTTAATTTATTTGTTCTATAAAATTTTCTGGTTTTGTCGGGCAAAGGAAAATTATTGTAAAAAAATTCGCTTACATTTTGATGTGTGAATTTGCGTTTCAACTGGTTCAGAGGGTCCAGAATCGTCCTCTTCTGTCGTCCAGATGATTCTCCTTCCGAGCAACATGATCTGGAAAAGAAATTATCGTTGATTATCACAAGTAGATATTAGTTTTTGGGGAGGAAAAACAAGTTACAAGCTTGCTTTGTACAATCTTGAAAGATTGTCCCCATAAAAGATGGCACGATGTAGTCCGAAGGGGCGAGGTCGGAGCTTCAAACCGAGCGAAATATTTTCAGGATGAGCAAGAATATTTTAGAATTTTTCGCAAGAAGAATATTCAGGCTATAATGGATAATATACTCTAGTATCATATAACACAAACTAAATTTTTCACCCGACAGTCTTTTAGAATTTAGTTAGTTGTCTCGGGTGATCTAAACTAATGAGAAATTTTCAGTAGTTCGTTTTTCCATTTTATTATTGGAATTGATAGTACGAGTAAATATTAGTTTTATTAGTCGTTATTAGTCCTCTAGTTTTATAGAGGAAAATTCAGGCACAAACTGACTTTATTCAACTTTGAACGTTTCGCAGTGTAAAAAGTGACGCGATGTAGTCCGAAGGGGCGAGGTCGGAGTGTATTCTGTACAAAATATAAACTGAACCACAAAAATATGTAGAAATACATCTACACATAAGGGAAAATGTACTATACGATCATGTAACTTAAACTTGTCCAACTACATTTTTACCCTACATAA